GCACTGGGCCAGGCTCACCTCTGCCAGCTGGAGCAGGCCATTGATGGGGGCGGAGATACAGCCCTCCCGCTCCACCTGCCACTGGGAACCCACGCATTTGTAGGTGATGGTCCCACCCACGGTGCTGTCAGGGCTCCGGGAGATGTCTGAGAACTGGCACAGCTTCTGGATGACCTTCCCGGGCTCCCCAACCCCGATGGCGGGGTCCCGGCACGTGATGTTGTACCCTGTGTTGGGAAATGGAAAGAAATACAAGGGACCGTTGAGAAGAGGGGTCAGGGCCAGGTGGTGGCGGGATCGAGGCTGAATTCCCATCTCTCAGTACCTTCCGTGACCTTGGGGGGGGTCTCCTGAGTTCTTATTGTTCCTGGCTTCCCAACAGCTCTCACTGTTTCCTGCTCAGAGCCGCTTCCACAGGCTGAGCCTGCTTTCCCCCACAGGACTTATTTCCTCCGTGCCTCACTCCCACCTCCAATCCTCGGAGAAGGGGTGGGCGAATGAGCCACAATTTAAAATGCGCTTACCGGGAACCAGAGAGAGCTTCATAGAAGAGCTGCGAACTGAACTGTTGGCGGCGTTGGTAAAGTGACAGAAGACATCCACGGTTTTTGGACACTGGGAAACCGAGTCTGCCGTGGAGCTGTATTTGTAGCACACTTGCTTTCCCTTCACTTCTTTGGCTGAAGACAGAGATACGGAGAAGACGTCACAACATGAGTGTCAGAAGCACAGGTATTGTTGGGATGATCTAACATGAAGAAGCCTGCCAGACTTTTCCTAGGAATGGATCACATAACATGTTCCACATATTTCTGTGGAAGAAAAAAAAAAAACAAACTTCTGGCAGCGTTCACAGCTCTCCACCTACTTAAAGCCCATCATGGCCTGTGCCTCACTCCATCCCAGCCTGCCTTCGCCATGTCGGTTTAGGATCCAGAGTCCTGCGGGATCTTTCTTCACCAATAGCCCATCGCTCCTGTAGAGGGCGCCCCTGCTCCTCTCTGTCCTTGCTTCCCCAGGGCTCAGCCATCTGAGAAGCTCTGCACATTTGTGGCCTTGACCTTGACCAGGGCTGCCCAGATGCTCGCATGTCCCACCGTCCCCTCTGTGTAGCTTCTCTCAATGCTCCAGGCTTTCCC